TATCTCTGTTTTTCATTTTCTACACTATTATACAAGATTCGATATCTTCATTGATTTTGTGAAATCTTTATTAAACTTAGGTCCTTGTGGCCTAAAGGATTGTGTCCTTTTAGGATGATGGTTCTTAAATTGAGGTCATAAGAGTCTTTGAAAGTATGAGAAAAGTGAAAAACTGTCATCCCAGAAAAGCACAGTCCTATTTCTCTTGTTATTTCATAATCCTCTATGTAGGAATCCCTGCACTGGGATATCACAGCTAAATATAAGCATGTGTTTGTGATACATGGGTTACTGTGATACTTATCATGCAAAGAGCACACAGTTATGATTAGTAGTGTAAAGAATGTTGAAAAGCATATTGGGCAACAGTGTTTTCATTGAGTGAAATATTTCCCTAATTTGGTTAATTTTCAATCCTATAGGAGTATTGAAGAAATATACAGTATCCTTCAGCTGGACCCACCAGTTGTTAACAAGGCTTTAGCTGTCTCTATAAATATACATTTTTTAACCAATTAAAAGTAAATTGCATACATTGTGATACTTTACTGTTAAGTACTTCAGGATATATTTCCTAAAAGTAAAGATAGTCTCCAAGAAACACAAACCATGATCAAAATGAGTGGTATAGTTTAATGATCTAATGTTTTGGGTGAAAGCATTCAAATAGAAATCAGACATATGCTGAGATTTATTTATATATTTATTTATTTAGTACCAGGAATTGAACGCAGGGGCTCTTTACCACTGAGCCACATCCCAGCCGGGTTTATTTATTTTTCTTTTTTTCTGTACCAGGAATTGAACTCAGTAGCACTTACCACTGACCCACATCCCTAGCCCTATTTTGTATTTTATTTAGAGACTCTATCAATGAGATAGTGTCTCTCTGAGTTGCTTAGCACCTCACTTTTGCTGAGGCTGGCTTTGAACTCAGGATCCTCCTGCCTCAGCCTCCCAAGTTGTTGGGATTACAGGTGTGTACCACCATGGTCCACATGAAGTTTTATTTTTGTAAAGGGAAAAACTTACCATTATTTATAGCTTGACAATAAGCCCTAAAAATGATCATGTGCTAAAATAAGGAGATCTGGTGGCTAGAGATATAGCTTAGTTGGTAGAATGCTTGCTTTGCATGCATGAGGCCCTGGATTCAGATCAACATTTTTAATTTAATGATATTTATGTTCATTTAGCAAGATTCTTGCTTACGTGACCCTTTATTCTTTCAAATCATTCTCAAGCCAGTTCTTTCATTTAGGCCACCTGGCCCAGAGACTGCTCTTAACCACCAGGCTCCCCTATCTCCTGGCAGAAAACAAGCTTCTTGAGATTGGGAATGTAGCTCAGTGGTACAGCATTTATCTAGCATGAACAAGGCCCTGGGGTTGATCCATAGCATCACACAAGGACCCAAAGACAGAGACACAAGACACACACACACACACACACACACACACACACACACAAACACAAAGAAGAAACAGCTTCTTTTAGTACTAATTTTTTTTCAGTTGCCTCAAAATAATTTTCCACACTTTTGCAAATTTTTAGTATGCAGTTGAGGAAGCCATGAATACACTATTCTGAAAGAGTAAAGACCCTTACTCTAGGATTGTCAACACTTAGTGCAGTGCCATGCCCAGGGTGCCTAGCCACATGGGGAACACCTGGTAATTTTTAGGCAAGTGGGTCTCATGTATAATTTTTCACATTTAGGAAAAGGAAACGATCTGGCTCAGAACTGCTTTACCTGTACATGGTTTCCAGTTTCAGTGCAGAAAACTCAAATGCACTGTCTCCCTTTTCACAGAAACCCAGAGTTTCTATCTTTAGCCACTATAGCAACTGCAATAACAAATCCCAAACCAATTCCTATTGCTCCAGAGGTATGAGCATCAAGCCTGTTGAAGAACAAAACTAAAATAAAACTCAGGGGCGTGTCACAGAGAGTGGGATTAGCACAAAACTTTTAGTCATATTTACATGGATCATAGAAAAATAAAGAAATGTAAAGACATTCTCTTTCTTTAATATAAATTTTTTTTTTTTTTAGCTAGATGTGATGTGCATGCCTGTAATCCTAGAGATCTGGGAGGCTGAAGCAAGAGGATTGCAAGTTTGAAGCCAGTTTCAATAACTTAGTGAGATGCTGTCTCAAAATAAAAAGTAAGAAAAAAAAATGCTGGGAATGTGGCTCAGTGGTAAAGTGGCTCTGAGTTAAATCTCCAGTACCAAAGAATATGTACATAAAATGTTTAGACTGATTTGTCAAGGACAGCAGTATGAGAGGAAAAAGCTACTTGATTGTTTGGAGGACTGTAAATGTATCCTTAGAACACTAAGTATACAAATTATCACATGAACACTAAGGGATATATCAAGTATAAAATCTCTACAAAACCTTATCTAAGAATACATTATGAAATATATTCTTTTACACTAAGCATGTATAGTTTTCAAATGTTTCCTTAATCTGCATTATTATAATTAAAAACACTATAATTTCTTAAAAGTCTTTTTTTTAAAAGATTCTTTTTTAGTTATAGTTGGACACAATGCCTTTATTTTATTTATGTATTTTTATGTGGTGCTGAGGATCGAATCCAGCACCCCACACGTGCTAGGTGAGCGTTCTACCACTGAACCACAATCTCAGCCCTCTTTTTTGGAAGTCTTACCTTTGACAAAGAAGGTAGTTTTGAAGCACAGTGTGTCCAATGTCCATAGTATTTGCTCCTTTGCTTAGCCTAAAATCCTAGGCAGTTGTTGGTACTGGGGATTGAACCCAGGGGTGCATTACCACTGAGTCACATTCCCAGCCCTTTTATTTTTAATTTTGAAATGGGATCCTGCTAAATTGCTTAGGGCATTGCTAAATTGCTGAATTGACCTTGTGATCCTCCCTCCTCAGCCTCCAGAGTTGCTGGGATTACTGGCATGAATCACTCTGCTTGGCAAGGGCAGTTGTTCTTGAACATGGTAGAATACTGTGTAGGCAGGGATTTTGGGAAACTAATTACTAAAACAATAAAGAGGAATATACTCTAAATTAGATTGACATACAATGAAAATAACCAATTTCAGTAAGCTACTACCAAACTAAATTGGAAATAGGTAACAACTATAAGCTATAAGATTCCCAAATGGCTGTTTCATGGCCACCCTCAGAAGCTAACTGAGCAATCCTGTGGGTGGGGGACTTATCCCATAGTCCTAATTTGGGACACAATCAAATAAGCCACAGAATCTCTCTCTTCCTGGAATCCACAATGCATACTAGCATATTAAAGATACCAAGAAGTCCTATAGTAAAGATTGCTAGGAAACACTGGGTTAAACAAAACTAAATAATCTTAATCTGAGTATTCTTAGGAAAACAAGTGCCTTAGAAAAAGTTTTATCCCTGAATATTTTCATCTGAAATGTGGTGCTAAATTTAAAATTAAAGCACTACAGAAGACAGTCTGGAAATATAGTTCTCCCTCCACATGCTGGAGAATAAGGGTACACTATATTCACTATTCTATAGTTCCTGAATGAAGATAAAAATATCAAGGTAAATGCCTTTGTTTAGCCATATGCCTTCTGGTGCTCAACAAAAACCACCTGGGGCTTTAACAGCAACAGTCCCAACTAGCCCCAGCACTACTTCTTTGAGGTTTTTATTGTATGACTGCACAGCATCGTGATTTCTAGGAACATGTATGTCACAGACTAAGTGAGCCATGAACCTGAAGTGTCTGAGTTTCATGGGGTCTAAGGTAACCTTCAATGCAGCCTCATTGCTCTTTGTTTTTTCCCCTCTGAGTTTTCTACCACTTGATCTCTGCAGGATACTGCCATGGAGTCTTATCAAATTGTTCTAAAAGCTAAAAAACCACAAGTTTTCTTTCCTTTTTGAAAATCAATTTTATCATATTAATATATCTTTTTATTTTATTTATTTTTTTTTAAAGAGAGAGAGAGAGAGAGAGAGAGAGAGAGAGAGAGAGTTTTTTTTTTTTTTTTTATTTTTTTTTTTTGTTCTCGGCGGACACAACATCTTTGTTGGTATGTGGTGCTGAGGATCGAACCGGGTCGCAGGCATGCCAGGCGAGCGCGCTACCGCTTGAGCCACATCCCCAGCCCAAGATAGCTTTTTAAAGAAAACACACTGCTTGCTATGCTATTCTACCCTTCACACTGCTCATACTCTCTGCTTTTCCTTTAGGCTGGAAAAGACTGATAAATGAATAATATGGTAAGCTTTTGTTTGGGTCAGTGTGGATTTCTGCCAGATGCTGGGATTCCTGTAGGACACAGTGAAGTGCCACCATCTCTACATCTTATGGTAAGAGCTCTTAAGCCCTCTTCAGTCTTTGACACTTAAAGAAAACCACCCCCTCCATAGAACCCTTATAGAAAGGCTGATAAACACCTATAGAGTCTTGTGATACAGATCAAATGCTTCAGAGTGATTTCATATGTGACTGGAGATGCAGTTTAATATCACATACTTATGATAACAAATATCCAAAATCAAGTGATAAATGTGACAATATTTTAAATCTCCTATCATAATGGAGTGAGTAAATAAGATATATACAAAAATAAGAACCTGGACAAATCACTGATTGCAATTTGGGAGAGTAAAAAGCTCTTTATTAACTTAGAAAAATAAAATAAAATAAAAACCTAAAAAAAATTCCATCCTGTAAAGCTATTTTTTGGGCTGTAACCCAAAACTCCTTTTGGAAGTTACATTATAATTTTTCAGACAGTGGGATCCTACTTAGTAAATCCATTTGCATTCTGAATGACTTTAAATTTTCAAATGCCTTCCAAAAAATGCTTAATTTACAGAAATATGAGCCAAGTATAAAAAGACCAAGTTCGAAAGTTATATTTTAGAATAGTTTCCCTTTACAAATTTGGTTTAAAATAGACACTAATATCTCAAGAACCATTCCTTAAAAGACCCGTTCACACAAACTAAAAACCTAGGCAAAAGTTCCTACCTGTTTAGTAACAGCATCTACGTCTCCTAGCAAAGTCACAGCACCAGAAGAAGACCATTATTTTCCAATTCTTCTGCACAGATGACAACTTAAAAAAGAGAAAAAGCTGAAGAAGAAGTCATGTTTATTCTTAAAATATTTAACAAGTCAATTAAGGGGTTGCGAATGTAACTCATTGGAAGAGAACTTGTCTAGCATGTATAAGGTCTTGGGTTCAATCCCCAGTACCACCAAAAAATCAAAAACCAAACAAAAAACACCAAGAAGTCAATAAAGGCTGAATAAATTGACTGTGTTATATGTAAAATTTAATAAAGAAGATGTGATATTCAAGAAGTGAAGTGAAGTAAAGTAAAATAAAAGGGCTGGGAATGTAGCTTCTCAGTGGTAGAGTACTGGCCTAGCATGCTTCAGGCCCTGGTTCAATCCCTAGTACTTTCAAAAAAAAAAAAAGTAAAAATCCATAGATCTATTCAAGTATCATAGTATAGAGAACCTCATCATCTTCCCTCATTTTAAAATCTACTCTATGGAATTCTGGTATTGTCCCATTTGAGCTGATCAATTACAGTTTTGAATCTAACCTCTACTGAGCCAGGTGTGGTGGCGTACACCTGTAATACTTGTGGTTCAGGAGGCTGAGGCAGGAGGATCTCAAGTTCAAAGCCAGACTCAGCAACTTAGCAAGATGCTTAGCAACTCAGTGAGACCTGTCTCTAAATAAAATACAAAACAGGGCTGGGGATGTGGCTCAGTGGTCAAGTGCCCCTGAGTTCAATCCCTGATACCAAAAAGAAAAAAAAGAAAAAGAAAAAAAGAAAGAAAGAAAAAATTCTACTGAATTACATCATTAAGGATTCTTACCTAGAGCAGGGGCTCTCAAATTTGAGCCTGTATTACCTAGTGGGCTTATTAAACCATACATTGCAGGAGTCCACCTTAGTTTCTGATTTCATTAATTCTGGAATGGGGTCCAGAAATGTGCATTTCTAACAAGTTTCCTAGGTGATGCTGATGCTGGTAGCTTAGGGACCACATTCTGAGAACCACTCTTAGAATATGGTATGATTATTCCATTTGCTCACAAGTTCCATTTCTGGATGGCCTTGGATAAATGAAAATGGATTTTGCAAAAAGGAATAATTTAGCTTCCCTAGAGGTGATGCATGGTACAGGTCTTAGGTTCAAGACCTTGGTCATCAAGAAGAGAATGGTGGGGCTGGGGATGTGGCTCAAGCGGTAGTGCGCTCACCTGGCATGCGTGTGGCCCGGGTTCAATCCTCAGCACCACATACAAACAAAGATGTTGTGTCTGCCGAAAACTAAAAAATAAATATTAAAAATTCTCTCTCTCTCTAAAAAAAAAAGAGGAGAATGCTGAATGTTTCATTTTAATCTATAATCCTACTTAAAATTCTTTTCTCTACCTTAAATATATCTAAACATGAAGAAGAGGCAAACTCTGCTTTTCAAACTATTTGAAACTTGATTTTGAAAGGTTTTCTGGTCAGAAGTAAAGTATAACACTACATTTTCTAGGTTTGAAAAGGCAGCTTACTTTGGTACCAGTAATTATGTTAGAAAATTTATAAAATCTACTTTTGTAAAAATAGAAAAGGTTCCTTACAAAAGCCAAGAAGAAAGCAGAGCTGATAATGGCTGAGAAGGAGAACAATGAACCACAAATAGCTCTCATTTGAAATCTCTTCTGGGTACCTGTATAAACTTAATAAATGGCTGTTATGTTGGAGGCAGCCCAAATGTAAAATCCAATTTAGTTTCTCCAATTACAGAGGCCCATTTAAAAAAATCTGATATAACACAAAAAAGCATATTTGTATTTATTATTTAAATTATTCTGCAAGTATCTCTGAAGTCTAAATAGTTTGGAGCTTATTTATACTCTAAGCTTACAAATTAGCTTCAAGGGTAAATCTGATCTTTTAAACTAAAGTAATAAAAATCCTACTCTGTGTAAATGCTAATGTACAAGATGAACTAAGTAGAATAAATATGGTAAGTGGGGAGAAAATAGCAATTGCAGATAACTCATTAAACATCAAAAGGGATGGGGCCAAACCACATAGGGCAAACAGGGTTGTGAGCTGCCACATAGGTAGTGTTTCTCTTAGGACAGAAACTGTACACTTTATTTCATTTGTTTATTATGTTTTTAACACCTTCACTTTAGATAATGTGGAAAAAATAGTGAAAGTATAAAGAAAACTCCAAAATAACCCCATAATAATATCAACTTATAAGCTATTATTAGTGCCCTGGGCTCTTTTCATACAGTCTTTTTTGATATGCAATCTTTTTTCTATAAATGAGTTTATATAATACTGGCTCATACACTTTTACTTATTATAAATGTTTTACTTTGTCATTAGTTCTTAAAATTTTTAAAGGCTACATTTTTTTTACACATATACCACAATTAAATATTCTTCTCAATTGCTGGATAATTTTTGGTATTAAGAGCACTGCACTGTACATCATTATGCTTGAATATTCTCTTTTTTTTCTTTTTGTGCTGCTGAAGATGAAACCCAGGGCCTTAAGCATGCCAGACAAGTGCTCTACACTGAGCTACATCACCAGCTTTAAAAAAAAAAAAAATGAGACAGGATATTCCTAAATTGCCTAGGATGGCCTCCAATGGCAATCATTCTGCTTCCATTTCCCAAGTAGCTGGATTATAGGCATGTACCACCATCCTAACTTGTGTTTAAACCTTTCTCTCTTTTTTTTTCTCTTGGTAATGGGGATTGAACCCAGGGGTGCTTTACCCCTGAGCTACATCCTTTTCCTTTTTGAGACAGGGGATCACTAAATTGTCAAGGCTGCCCTTAAACTTGCAAGCCTCCTGCCTTAGTCTCCAGAGTAGCTTGGGGTTATAGGTGTGTGCCACTTTATGGGGTTCTACTGTGTAATTTTGTCATCTTACTTGTACATTGGCTTTCTCATCTATAAAGTGAATATAATTCAGAGCATTGTTGTGAAGACGAAATCAGTTAATACATGTAAAACACTCAGAATAGTGTCTGAACACAGTAAACTCAGTAACAGTTTACTTTACAACAATCTGCCTACTTGCTAGCCAAATATGATCATTATGTCTTGATTACTTCAAGAATCTGATGAAAGACAATCAAATCATACCCAATTACACCCTTCTCTTTAACACAAACATACTCTTGAATGTCTTCTGATCCTGTTGTCATTTTCCTTCTGAATCATCCTGTCATTTCCTTTAGTTCAGGCACTAAGTCTTGGTTGCCCAATGGGCATATGTGCTGGATGTCCCACATGCATCTCAAACTCACATTCCAAATTTAATTCATCACCTTTCCCTTCCAAATTGGCTCTTCCCTGTATATTTCCCAGTCTCAGCGGCACTATGGTCCACATAGTCAAGCAAATCCCAAAGAGAACCAGTCACCCATTCTATACATTTCCTATTTAAGTATATCTTGTTTTTTTCTGCATATCTTGCCTTTATCTTCTCAGAATTGAAGGTCAAAACTACACCTCATTCCTTCTTTATATTTCTGGTCTCCCACCAGTTATGGAGCACAGTAACCAAAACATAGTACACATTCAATAAATGTTTTCTGTATGAAGACAGCAGTGGCAGGTAAACTCACTTCCAGAAAAACAGTAAAGTATAGCTAGTATTAATAGATCAATCACTTCATCTTCTCTCGATAAAAGAACAGAAGGTTCTCCCAACTAGGAAGAGTAAAAATTAGAGGTAAGGGTATAGCTCAGCGGGAGAGAACTGGCCTACCATGCATACTGGAAAGCACTAGAGAAATGGTAAGCACTGAGTGTTTGCAATGAACAGCTGCTACTATTATCTATCATTCCCATAATGCATTCGGTTACCTGAGTCCTAATTCCTCATCCCGACATACCTGATGTCCAGCTCCTGGGATGCTAGGGGGATGCCTAGGACGCCAAACACGAATTCCACATCCTGCGGGCAAGAAAACAGGGAATAAACTCCAGGTCCCACCCACGTCGCCGCATCCTCCCCTACCTAGGGGATGCGAAAAGGAAACCCCTGTAAGCCTCCACCCACACCGCCCCACGATCTCTTGTCTCCAAGGCAACGCTTGGGTATCCGGCGGCCACCTGCACCGCGCTAATGTCGCTCCACTCTGTGAAGTTACTTTCCGGCATTTTCCACCTAAAAGTTCAAAGCACTCTCGCAGCTGACAGCCAAGCTGACATAAAGCCGCCCAGCAAAACAAACCCAGAGCCCTTCTCAAGCCGCTCTTGTTGCATCTGACTGACAACAGGGTAGCCAACCGCTTTATGTAACGGGACGGAAAAGGCGGGACTAAACAAGTCGGCTCCGGGCGAGGTGAGATACGAACCGCCCTCTTCCCGGTTTAGGATGTGAGAAGGAGGCAGGACTACTAGGAGGCCTCGGCGGAAGCTTCTCGCCTACACCCCGCTCCACTATCCTGACACTCTTCTGCACCGGTGGCGGAAGCGCACGTGGGGCGGAAGGAGGGCCGGGCTTCCCCGAGAAGGGGGCGTGGCGCAAGCCCGCTCCGGCCCCACCTGGGCGGCTCTAGGGGTTTGAGGCCTGCGCAGAGGTTGCGGGAACTCGAGTGGCTGGAGCTCGTCTAACAGAGAAGTGGTCTGTGGGTCGTGTTGTCATGCTGCTAAATCCTCTGGCTTCATAGCTTGTGCCTTTGCACTCCATAAATCATAGTAATTCACGTTACTTAAATCCGCAAGCAGAAATATACTCTATCCCAGTTTCGTAGGTGACGCTGGGCTTCCATGAGGAGAGAAAGTAACTAGCCCAAAGCCCTGAAGCCCTGACTCTACTCTTCGGACTCTACTCTTGCCGGCTACCCACTCTTTGGCCCTTGGGATAGGAGAAATTCAACCCTTGCTGCTGACCCATTACTCTCCAATACTATGTTTCCAATTCAGAAAATGCAGCTTTTCACAATTTTTAGGCAAGTCCCTACCTACAACCAGTCTTGATATGCTCGAGTTCAGGACCCCCAAAAGACCACCAGAGTCCAAGATCATGTAAGCAGCAAAGAGGCGTTTATTGTGAGCTAGCTCTGTCCTCTGTTCACACAGCAACTGGTGACACTGAGAGGCCCCCAAGCCCAGGGTTTGCAGCAGTTTTATACACTCTTTGGGGAAGGCAGGGACTTTACATACATCATAGCATCTCTTAGCAAATTATCACACACCACGGGAAAAATCAAACAACAACTCTTAACATTGATTAGCACATTCACTGGCAGGAACAAGTTAGGGGTGATTGGTTAGTACAAGGATTCCTTTGAACTGATTGGTTTAAGCCACGAGGGAGTACTGCTGAATTACATGGTTTCCCAACATGTTATCAACCACCATAAATTACTGGGAGGGTCATCTGGTATCCCAGGTATTTTCCCTGTCTCATGCTGATTCCTGGTTGCTAGGGGGTTGCTAGGGGTCCTCACCTAGCCTAACTGAGTCTGGAACCTCTGGTACCACAGATCTCTCCTGTTATTTGCAGATAAACAACTCAGCAGGGTGGCTATGTGTCTAGGAGTGCTCTGTGGTGTTTTTCCAAGGACAAGGGCCACACCCCCTTCCTTAGACAGAATTTGCTCTGAAGTAGAGGCTGGTTTCTCAAAAATGGAGTCACATCAGTTTCTCAGTCTCTGATCCCCATAGCCTTTCAAAACACTACAGTGGGAAAGATGTTTCTGTGTGCGATTTCTGAGGCTATCTCAGTTATTAGATTGCTTCCTCAGTATCAATAAACGTAAAAATAGCTAATCTAAAAAGTTTTTAAAAAGCTTAAAAAGTTAAGGTCACTTAAAAGTTAAAGAAACCCCAACAAAGTCTCCAATTATATCAAAAAGTGGAATTCAATTTTTTTTGAGATTTTGTAATACTGTTAAACAAAAACGTCAGTGATAGAGGGCAAAGAGCCAATATGAGTGGGGGACAAGTCAGGTCAGTGAAACAAACGAGAAGCACTGGAAGTGAAAGGATTTCTAAACCTAGAGATTTTCAAAGTGTAGTTCAGGCCCTTTCAAAAGGCCTTCCCCTCTTTATTCCAACTCTTCTCCCAACCCTAAGCAGAGGAAAATTAAATGGTTGCCACCCTATATAAGGGGCCCATCTAAGAGGGAGATTTTTTTGAAGTCTCTAGAGTTCATCTAAAGAGTAAATGCAAACTTTGCATTCTACTCCACAGTAGAATGTCATTTTTGACATATAAATGATACTTATTAAAGTTACACAAATGTAAAACTATCAAAAGTCAAATGAGTTTTGACAGTTATGTACACTAAAATATTTTAAAATAAAAATATTTTAAACTGCTTATCGCTCAAGCAAAATTGACATTCCAGAAAGATGCAAAACATTTTTCTGTACTTTGAATAGTCTTTGGCACAGGGTATCCTGCCTCTGAGATACATGAACCCCATTCCCCTCTATCATGTACGATTGTTTATATTAGCTTTGCATGACAATTTCAACTCTCTGGCATCAGAATCACTTAGAAACCTTTTTTTGAAAACATGGTTGCTTGGTCCTACCCCAGGACTTGTTGTTAGACCACGATGCAAGAAAAGACCACTGACTCCAATTAAAATCAAATTAAAGCAAGCTTATTATTTCTACCAGCCAGGCTACCTTTCCCATCAAAATCGTGGGAGCCAAGGACAGCGGCCAAGCTTCCTTGCAGCCCAGTTTTATAGCCCAAAAAGTTACACAAAGCGGGGTTACAGATAACAAAACTCTGAAGAGCATAACGCAAGTTTACATTTTTGCTGGCCCTGACATCAGAATTTATGGAGGTCTTAGAGACTCAGAGAGGGTCGTTATCCAGCCAGGGAAGGTCAGAATTTATGAGTCACTAAGGTTTAGGAAAGGGTTGTTATCTGGTCAGGGAAAACCGGGCATGGGTGAGTTCAGGGCACGGGCAGGCATTCCAATCAGCTTTACAACATTAACTAATGGCCAGGCCATACAGACATCCTAATATTTTTACAGAAAACAGAAATGAATTCTTCATAACTGGTGACAAGCTGGCTTCTGATCTAAAGAGAGAATTAGGCTAGATATATCATTGTGAATCAGCTTCTTGGGACAAGTTAGGCACTTGTTTGTGTGTATTTGTTTTTTAATTTTTAAGGTGTAGATGGACACAGTAACTTTATTTTATTAATTTAGTTTTTATGTGTTGCTGAGGATTGAACTCAGTGCCTCACACGAGCTAGGCAAGTGCTCTACCACTGAGCTACAACGGCAGCTCTGTGCGTGTGTGTGTGTGTGTGTGTGTGTGTGTTGAAGCAGCTACCTGATTTTGAATTGGTGAGAACGATTACCTCTATACTAATGCTGAAGGCAGGAGTTTATAATTAAATGTCTGATTACCTAACTATTACCAAGTAATACTGTAGCAGGGAATGAGGGTCAGGACACAAAGATCTGGAAGCAATAGTTTATTAGTGTTGCCGTGGCCCAGAGGGATAATTTCCAAAGTCTGAGTCCTGAGTACCACAAAGCTTTTACTTTTATACATAAGCAAGTTTGAGTACCTCAAGGCAAGGGAGTTGATGCAGTTCTATTGGAGGGTGCATCTATATTCCTTACATGGATGCAAGCTTGTCAACATCCTAGGGACTCTTAGCTCAACAACTTAAAGACCTTTACTGCACTAAGCCTAAAGGGGGATTGTTCTGTCCCCATTGCTTTGTTTCCTGCTTCTGCTACTGCAGTTGTCTTTTACAGGTATCTGTTAGACACTGCAGGCCTCTATGGTTAAATGTCAATAAGCAGAGCTGTTGTGTGTCAGTGTGCAAAACCACAGCCTGTCAGCTCTTAAGCTGCTAAAGTTCCTATTTTTCTCTACCGCAGTACTGTTGATTAATTTGGACTTATAGGTTCAAGACCAAACTTGTTTCACATTGGCAGCACAAGCTGTATAGATGATTGTCAATTCATGGGATCTTGTGTCTGCTTTCCTGTCAAAAGAATCACTAACAGAAATAATCTATGAAGTGCAATGGAAACTGAACTCTGAGTTGAAACAATTCCCTAGGATTCAAATTAAGTGGTTTTGCAAAAGGAGAATTTCTTACCTGGCTATATACTGCCAGTTAGCAAAGAGAAAAGTCATTGAGATAGTTCTTGCTTTTACTTTTACCCCTTTCACTTCAGTTCAGGGTGCAGCCATCCACTGTTCACTGGCCTACGATGATTCAGCAGGAGTGGTGAATCCTACCCCCCAGAATTAACAGGACCAAGGAGCAACTCCTTTTCAATACAATTGTAGTTAAAAGATCCTAGGATCTGGAATTTATCCAAGGCCCTTTGAATGGACTTCATAAGCATTGACCATGTTCTTTATTACTTTTCTTGGCAATAGGCAAGGGTTTTTTATTTGTTTTTGTTGACTTATTTATTTTTTAAAGAAGGAATAAGCCTAACCTTTTTTTCTCCTAAAGAAAAGGCTGTTATTGATAACATCCTCTCCAAAAAAGCAGAGCCAGTCATCCAAACCTGCATGTTAATTATTTGGGGTTATAGATTTCAGGTTATGGAAGGGAGCTATTTGACAACTCTCTTTCATCTGGGTGGAGACAAGATCTAGGCCCCAGGTAATTTAGTAAGAATAGTAAATACAGTGTCTAGAGAAAATATACTATCAGAAGACTGCAGCTTCTATAAGCAGTAACTGCTTAGACCCACAAATTATGATAGTACATCTTAATTTCAGTAAACTAACAAGGACACTAAGAATCCTTGTGATTATTTTAAAGCATAACACTAGATGAACTTATGGGAAATGTCCTCACTAACAATCTTTTATCAAGATGTGAACTGTGCCTGGCTTGGTAGTGCATGCCTGTAATCCCAGTGACTCAGGAGCCTGGGTCAGGAGGATTATAAGTTTGAGGCCAGTGTCCACAACTTAGTGAGACCCTCTCTCAAAATAAAAAAATAAAAATGAAGTATGCAAATACTGCCAATGTGCTGGGGATGTGGCTCAGTGCTTAAGTGCCTCTAGGTTCAAGCCCCAGTACCAAAAATTTAAAAAAAAATTATTTTAAAGGAAAGTGTATGGTTATCAAATGAAGAAATGAATCAGGGTTATTTGTGATGACATTATAAAATGGCTGAAAATATGAAAAAATTGAAACGGAATGTTTTAAAAACAAAAGTCAGCAACAAGAAAGAAACTCTAGGGCTGGGGTTATGGCTCAGTGGTAGAGCATTTGCCTAGCAGTGCTGGGTTTGATCCTCAGCACCACATAAAAATGAATAAAACAAAGGTATTGTGTCCAACTACAACTAAAAAATAAATAAATTTTAA